GTGTGTGTGTGTGTGTGTACACATATATATATATAAAGGTACCTATTATAATATATTAATTTGTAAAAAAAAAGATTATAACCAAATTAAAATAATCCCCATAATGATATGGTGAATAATATTGATAGTTATTGACACCTAAATCTATCGACACCAAATGAATCAAACTAATAGGCAACAGATAAATCTTTAAATAATATTAATTTGGAAATCATAAAAACCAACAACTTTTGTTTTAGCAGGATCTTACTAGTGGACTACTACCACTGCAACGTGTATATGTTTATTCTGTCAATTGCTTTTTTCTTTACAGAAACTCTGTATATAAATATTGTACCTATCTGCATTGCGTTATATTTCATAATAACTTCAAAGTGATACAGTTTCTTAAAATATGTTATCACTTATTAGAATAAAAATTACATACTCTAAGGTGGAGATATTGGAAACTCAGCCAACAGATGTCGTACTCAAATATTAGAGGTCATAAGGTGGTTCGGAGATAATATTATAATAGTATAAATTACGAGTATGAAGTGTCAGTCGTTCGCGGTTGAATGACGCGACACAGCTCACGACTTCACGAAATTTAGATAACGGTCGATTTATTGTTAAAACACATTTTAAAGAATAACTCAACCCAATTAGATATAATACTTACACTTGACAGATAAAAAATATAGGTACCTATTAAGATAACATAACGCAGAGTGTTGTAAAAAGATGAAGTAGAAATGGCTTTCTACACATGGAAAATTCAAATCCAAAAATCTAGTCAAACGATTGATAAAGCATATTATATAGGGTGATTTTTTTATCGAACAACACTGAATATTTCAAAATCTATCAATGGTTTTGAAAATATTTTTTTACTTAATCCCAAGTCAAAATAAAACATTATTTTTTTTTAAATATATATATATATATTATAATTATGTTTTTCTTAAGTTATTTACATTTTAAAATAACAATAAACATTTTTAATTTTATATTTTGTAGCAGAATATTTTTCAGAGTTTTTCAATACATAAAAATCAAAAGTGGATGAGTATAGTTTATACAATTTAAGTGAGTGGAGTAATGCAAAAATGTTTGTCTTCTGTTCCGTTAATTTAAACTTTAAATAGTTGTAACGTATAAACATTAATCCAAATTTCGATTTTTATGTATCAAAATACTCTGCTTTAGAATACAAAATTAAAAATGTATACTGTCATCCAAATAAATATATTTTTTAACAAATGTTGTTTTATTTTGAGTTAAAATAAAATAAAATATTTATTTTTATAAACGTTTATAGATTTTGAAATAATTAATGTTGTTTGATAAAAGAAACATACAGTGTAATACTTAGGTATCTATAAGCGTTTTGACTCTCATTAAAGACGCTGAACCAAGACATAGGTATCATATTATTACCTATGTTATTATGATAGAGGTGAACAAAATGTCGTTATCTATGATGTTTGTGCTTTACGGTTGTTTGCCATCAAACACCAAAAGCATGTATTATAATATTTTTATACCACCCGAACTCTATAATGAGACAAGAATAAATATTGCTAGTTGTAAATTTGAGAATAAATATAATAAACTCTCCAACACATATTATAATATAGATAGACGCGTACAATGTATCTATGATTATTATGAAAAATAAATAAATAGACACTTTTTTATGCTAATATGGAATGTCCAATTGTTTACCAAATAAATGCAACAATTTATTTTTAATAAAAATATTCCACTTATTTGTTTCCGACTAATCGTAATCAATTAGTTATAAAAATGATAAATTATATATTAAATGTGTCCAACGTAGTATGAAATGATCTCCAGTGGAGTATAATAATAATAATACGAGTAAAAACAGGTTTCGTTGGCTGACAAAATATAAAACAAATAGTGAGTGCATAAAAAAATGTATGTATAATATATATACAATATATATACATATAATAAAGATAAATATTCTGATGGGAAAATAGTCTAGTATGTAAACAGGTGATTTTTATGAAAGGTTATACGTGTAAACATAAAACATTTTTTTTTCGTAGGTATATTATGCGTTCATTGTTCATTTATTTTTTAATTCACAACTAAAATAATATTTCATAACTTTATAATTACAAATAGGTTATTAATTATATACTCTTTTTGAAAGCTATAAATCATAATTGTAGCAGGTAACTCTATAGTTTAAATGACAGAAGGCACATTAGGGAGATTTTAACTATACAGTGATATTGAATTGAGTCCATGCTACTCTTATGTATTTGAATTGAGTCCGTATAGATAAAATGTCATAACTACCTATATAGCCGATGGCACACAATTAGTTAATACTTACTTAATTATCAAATTATTACGAGTGAAAAATGGAGTGTATGTTTAGTTATTCGCCCATAAAATAATTATTTTTCCTCAAACAATTTTTAATATTTTGTTATGTTTCCAAAAATAATAAGATAAGTATATGCTTGAAATTTCTAAATTATTATTTTCAATACCTATATTAAGATAACATTTTCAATTTTTTTTGGGAATTTTTCTATAACTGTCGATAAAAATTATTCTTTAAGTAAAAAGTAGACCTTTATTTATTATTATTATTAATATTTTTTAATTAACTGACTCTTTATACGTATTATCACAATTAAAGAAAAGGACTCAACTCGAATAACGTAACAATATTGGTCGGACTCATTCCCGATAACCCAAAAGTATTTGCGAGACTCAATTCAATATTTGGGACTCGATTTAATATTATCATATTAATGATAAACATGATGTGAAAGAACAAAACTATAGATTTGTCATATAAGTAGATATAATAACAAGAATTAAGAAGAGATAATTTTCGGGATTCCGAACACTATTTCGACACCACATGAACAAACGACAAATAGAGAACATTAGCGATCGGTAATTAAAATTATTTATTTAATTTTCACAATCGTTCTAAATATATACATATCTGTTTTATATACTCATCGTGATTTAGAAAATAATAATATATAGTATAATAGTTCACAAAACTAGTCCTATTCATATTTTAACGCAGAGTCGAGACAACTACAGTTTTATCGTCATTTGGTTACACAATTATTTTTTAAATAATATATCATTATTTATTCATCTTTTAAGAAAATCATCGTGCGCAGTACCTGCATCCTAGTATTAGAGAATATAATTTGAAATAAGTACGATTTAGCATAAAACTGTCATCATGAAAATAGAAGACAATAAATTAATCTAGGACGTGACATATTATCCTTTTTTGTGAAATATAAAATTTTTAAAAAGCTAAGTGAGGGTATGTTTTTATCAATTGTTCAATACTATTTTACAATTACGCAAATGCGAGTACAACAAACATTAATAGTACAGACACGGGATCTCTCGGAAATAAACATAAAATAGTATTTTAAGACGCTTAAAATGATAATAAAAAGTTGTTAAAATTACCTACATCGATCCCTTAAGAAATTGTTGCTTTGATGTACTATTCAGTATCCCGAGCATCACACAATCATGTATAATACAACACTTGTATTATTGTGGTACATGACTTTATGACTTAAATACTAATAGACACTATACTATATAAACATAAAACATACAACTCTGCAATAAATTAACAAACACTTTATACACAAAGTGTTTCAATAAGCATCGCTTAACCTTCTATTGTATCCATTTTATTTATATAAATTACTATTTTAGAAATTTATAGTTAAACTTAAAGACCATATTTTAGGATACTTAAATTTAATCATTCCGTTTAAAGAGTAAACAGAAACTCGATTTGGTTTAAAAAAAAACCTCATTTTAGATTCTGAACACAGTAGAAAATACATAGATTTTACAATAACGAGTGGTTTTTTTTTTGTCTTTAAAGACACTTTTAATAATAAAAAAATGCTTAGATTTTCAACTTTGAGGATAGATTGTGATATTAAACTGAACTGGTACTTTGGAAGTCAAACGTAAAAATATTCAATATAACTTTTCAAAATAATTGGGAATCAATCACAAAAAAAATTCAAGCATTTTGTTAATATTTTGTATTATATCAATAATTGTTTGGTAACCTTGGTTATCATAGTAAAAAAGTTCAACCATCTTTACTCAGAATCGTTATTTGTGTACGATGACAAGTATATCATTTAATTTTAATTTAAAATATCTATTTCAAACTACAGTAAGTCAATCAATGATAAAGTATACTTGACACCTACTGTAAAATAGAACACTATTACCAGATTATCCACATTTTTTTACTTGAAAATAATATTGTTAAATAAATAATTTATATTGATTTGCTATTTTATATAAATCAAACCCAAATTAAACTCGTTCAATTTTTAATTATATTATACTGGCTATATTACCCAATTTTTATTATTGGTAGTACAGTAGTTTATGGTATGTATTAGACAAAAAATTGAAAAATAGTTTATTCAGCTTCACCAATCAGAAATAACCTTAAACTATTCTTTAAACTTAGATATCTCTCAAAAAATATTCTCTAAAATTTCGGTTACAATCATTTGAATAGTTGTTGAGTCTATTAGCAACTACACACACATATGGCCTTTTACATATTATATATCATAAATGGCCAACTTGAGGCGCAAGTCGTAGTCATAACGGCTATAGCGTCTTATTTATAAAATAAAAATTTACTTAATGAATTTTAATTTACTTTGGTATACATTTATAAATATTTATCAAATTATACATAATGTATTTAAAAATATTTTAACTTTATAAATATCATTATATTTATCCATGTGGCTCGCGAACATATATTCGTGTTTTTCACCTCTGTTATATATCTAGATAGATTAAATCTATAATAAATCAATTATAATAATATACTGCTACAGACGTAAATAGTTTTACATGGGAGTAAGTCATGAGTTATAATATTTCAATTCTAGGAATGTATAAATAATTATCGTACTTTTGCATGAATCATTTTTTTTTTTTTTTTCTAAGAGGAAAACTCTTTTGTAAATCTATTGTTACTGCGAATGTTGTATAGACTGTATAAAGATACAGTACGCTGTTCCGAATAAAACGTATCGCGCGCAAACTGTTTTTGAATTTCCAAGTAGAAGGTATGTAGATAGGTATGTAAGATAGGTATGCATACCTATGTAGAAAATTTAAATCCACACCTCTTCAATCAACCTTCTTCACGTACTATTTTTGATGTGCTATAAGAAGCATCCCTACCAATATATATATATGTCTAACAGAACAGGCTTTTCTCTCTTTTTTGTAAGAAAATAAAACAAACAAATAAATAAAACACGAGCAGCGTACTCTAGTAGTAATTCACACAAACACGCACGTAAATAGAGACTCAACATTTCCCCAGGGTATGATGTGTTCAGTGCCGTTAGAAATCTTATATTGTTAATTTAAAAAGTGTTGTTTGCTAACAGATCGAGTGAGAGGGGAGATAAATATTAAATAACATTGGATATACGTACTCGTTCGAATACACTCACACAAATATATTATAATATTATTTATTATATAACAAAAAATAAACGCAGTTCAGACTAAATAATTAACAACCCGATGCATTTAATGCAAACATATATACGCTTGGGATATATAAACAACAACGCGGGACACGGGTAGTTAATTTTTTTGCAAAAAAGTTTAATATATAAACGTATATAATAAAACTCGTTATTATTTCAACGCGTATAAATATATATATTATACAGGCGTATTAATGTATTATTACTATTATTATTATTGTATTTATATTCGAATGTTATTCTTTAAAAAAAAAATTGTAATAAGAACAGAACGAAAGTATAATTATTATTAATTGTAAAATAAACCTATGTTTAAAAATAAAACTACAATATATACAATATAACCATAACGTTCTCCTCCTCCCGACAAAAACAAAAGACGCCAAACATGGTACTCCGCCAAAAGTTGATTTCTATTGGAAATAGCATGATATTACTTTTAAGCGGTATGGAATATCTCAATGTATAATGTTATACTTTATGCTAAATACACAATATAATCGGTTTATGGAGATTGAAAAACGATATTTAACAAATTTCATGTTGGCCGTTAGTTTTAATAAAACATTAAAAGTTAGAACACTCGTGGTCGATGTGTATTATGTATAAGTATTTAAGTAAAACATGTTTTGTTTTTAAAAGAACATCTCACTAATATTAAATTATAAGTACTCTGATATCAGGTATGTAAGGATATTGTAAAAAAATTATACTAAAAAAGCTGTTTATCTGCATACAGTAAGCTAGATTACACGATGGCAAAAAAAAATTTCTAAAAAAATTATCGTTAACCAAAATCCAATAATCGGAGGATTAAAGACAAAATTATAATATACAACGTATATTATTTGTTCAATAATTAATATATAGTACACAAGACATGAAAAAAATATCGACGATTTTAAATGTTTATAACCGAAACAAAAAATATGTTTTTACGTAAAAAATCGTGATGACGTAAATGTAGTATTAAACAATTTTTTATTGCATCTTACGGTTTGCACACGTTTTAAAAAAAAATATGCGAGAAAATTGAATTAGTTCAAAGATATCAAAAAAAGTACGAAACCGTTCGTTTTGGACTTTTATCTAATGGTTCAAGTATAAAAGTTTAAACTAATTTTGCCTTTTAGTCTCATTAAAAAAAATTATAATACAATTTACGGTTTTTTGGTAACAACCATAAGTTTGTACACGTGATGACGTGTATTATGTTTTACATGATTGATTTCATAATTTTATCATTATTAACAACTACCCTTATCAATGACAACACAAAGATCGATTTTATAAAATAATCATCTTACATAATTAAAATATATACATATAACACAAAAACGAAATTATGTATCAGTAATGAGTGATTAATAATAACAATTAAATAAAAACTATAGGTTTAAAATTGAAACCACAAAGTTTTGTCAATATTTGATTATCGCGATTCTACTATTGACAACGGTCATCATGTAGACACGATGTCAGTCATGTAAATTTAATTTAAGTGATCTACTCATACATAATATGAAACAGATTCCGCATTTGTTACACTCATTACACGACATCACATCATTATGGTATTCTCGACATAAAAAAAAACAATTTTATTACACAAAACGTTTACGCGAAAATATAATTTTCCGCTCGTTTATATAATATATAAATTTGTATACAAACGAATACGACAAAATAATAAAACGGTCATTGTAAATCTAACACACGAAATACGCACGCTTTTGTGCGCCAATATACGGCCGTAAGAAAAATCGCGGAAGTTTCCGAGCGATAAGAAAACAAACGTTTGAACACAACTGATAGAGAGATGTGCGTTATCGATAAACGCGTGTATCAGTGTTATTTCTACTTAAACCGGACTCACAGCTGTGCAGTGTCCAAAAAACAAATGGAGATTTCCGGTAAAGGTCGAAGTCGCAACCGCAACGGCTATAACGGAACGACCACTACCGTATCAGAATACGACAATAAAAGCCACACGACGCGGCTGCAGCGGACCTGCCGATCCGATGCGGACTTCCGTCTACCACGCGCCACGTCCCCGAAATTATCAATATACCATGGATGCGGTACGTACCTGAACACTTTCCGAGTATTGTGCGGATGGAGCGCGCTGGCCGCCACCGGGTCGAAGTACGCGGCGTGCGCCTTGAGCGCGGCCGGCGTCAGCAGATCCACGGCCGTCCGTTCCTGGTCGACCAACAGGGCCAGCGCCAGCCGCTGCGTTCGCATCTGCAGCTCTGCGTGCGCCCGGCACAGGGCAGCCCGAACGTTCCCGTCTACTTCCGCGACTGCCGGCTTCGCGGAGACGTCCACCGCTTTCACCAGCGCAAGAATGCCGTCCAACCTGGACTGGACGTCGGCGAACCCGTACCGCTCGCGGTGGCCGACCGCCACGTCCGTGGCCATCACTTCGTACCGGACGTCCGGTACGCCGCCGGTGTGACCGTCGACTGAACTGGCCACCGCGTCGAGCACGCGGACGCCGTGCGCGTACAACGCAGCCGTCTCGCATTCGGCCACCGTCAGCGGCCACGGTTCCGCCATCCGCGAGTCGTCCACGTCGTCTACGCTGACGAACGTGTTCCTGTACCGCCGGAACGGCAGTCGGCCGACGGCCGCCATGGTTCGCGCGAACCTGACCGCCTCGGCCAACGCGTCTGCGTACAAGCGGCTGGCCCCGGTCGCCGTGACAGCCGTCGGGACGTCGTTAACGTTCCGGAAACTGGCGTATTCGCGAAAAGCGCCCACAGATAAGTCGTCGCCGTCGTCATCCTGCTCGTCGTCGTCCTGATCGTCTTCGTCGTCCGCCACGTCTGATCCCGGTTCCCCGTCGACGGATCCCTGTACCAGGTTGTCGTAGATGATAGATTCAATGTAGTACGACGTGCCGCCGACCACCACCGGCACTTTTCCCCTAGAAAATATGTCCTTAATCTGATAATATCGACAAGTCAAGGACCACAATATAATGCACGATGATCATTAAGAAGAACATAATAATAATTTTAAAAAAAATTATTTATATTTGGATGTCTTAATAAATAATTAGTTATTATATTATAGTGTTGATAAAAACAATCTGCAATATATTCAATCTTTACATTACATTAATTGATTTCACGATCCCTACAAAAAATATATTAGGACGGTTACTGGTTCGTATGTATAGATATACAATTTATATTAAAAAACATTTATTACTTAAAAAGGAATTTGTAAGTTTTAAAATGAGTGTAGGCGTGATTTAACTGGCACAAACTGCAGCATGATACGACTGATATAAGCATACGCCGTAATCGTATCTAAAAATACATGCCAAAGTTACAGTAAGTTCAATTGTTTTTGGAGGGTGGGCATTTTGAAAAGGTTGTATATTTTGTGGTACTCTACAGACACACCTGAACACCTCTGAACCTCTGATAGACAATCATTTCATTCAAATATATATTTTTATTACCACCGCGACACTATTGGTAATATTACCTATATTATTTAAAAATATGTTTTTTTTTTTTAAAGATTTATTTGCATAAATAATTATAATTTTTATGACTCGATTAATAGTAAAAACAAAAAGTAATAAATTTTTATATATATTTGTATAAGTGTGCGTTATTATTACTTCATGTAAATAAATAATTAGGTACTAATTAGAATTAAAAAATTAAAAAAGGGTTTATGAGGGAAGTTCAATATAGTGTTATAAAAAATCGGTGGGCGGTAAAAACATAATTGAAATTCATCAAGCGTGTCCCCGTAATGTATACATAATCATAAGTGCAAACAAATTAATTATTTATTTAAAAAAATACAAGGGTTGTGTAAACGCACGTAACACATTACACGTTGGGGTATGTCAAGTCATTGCGATTGTTCCTATAATATTAATATACAAAGCAAAACGTACTATAATTGAAACTGAAAATTACAATTGCTGTTACACGCAATAATAAGGCGTGTACGCAGTACATATTATGATATTGTAGTGAGTAGGAAAGTCTTAATGAAGAATTAAATGAAAAATATACGCGTGGGAATCAATAATTCGGTGAAAACTTTTAATAGAAGAATGCCAATGTATAAGTTTTATTAAACTCGCGAATATAACATTTTGGATACTCCTTCAAACCGTGCTACAAAGCTCCTATCTTTATAACCCCAACCCGTATGGCTCGTTTATTAACGTATGTTAGAGACGTGTACATTGTAGGCTATAATACAAGCATTACAATAATGGTAACCGGAAACGAAACAACTACACCGGAAAAACGCTTGCTGCATGGGTCATTCTCTGTATATATGTAACACTTTTTAACGAGAATTTTATGATATACATATAATATAATACATAAATCGTATAAAAATACATATACGCGATGGTATAACCATAATGTATGATAACTGAGGGAAAACTCATCGATAAATTTAAACACCATGTGTATGAAATTGCTCGATTCAAAGAGCACTTAATCTCGAAAAAGCCACTTTTTTTTTTTAAATTCACTTTTACCTTATTATCGTCGTTGTTTCTTATCGCAGTAAATGTTAATTTTATTAATTAGTTTTTTCAATTCCTATTACAGTTTTGAAGATTAATTATACATTGTTTCATATTGTTTTGATCATTTTCGTATAAAGCCGATATGTAGACGCTAAGAGAAAAACTACAATCACCGTTTTTTTTCTTTCCTTATTGCCAACATTAATATCATTTTTAATGTTGCACTTGTCATCGATTTACTATTTTAAACTTATAGTTAGTATTTTAATTTTCAAGCAACATATATCTTATACAAACATACAATACAAGAGATTAAAAAATATTATTTTATAAATATACAATTAAATGCGATTTATAAGCTGACATGAACAACATTGGTCAGATTACATTGTCAATACTCTTTTCCTAACCATTCTTTCATTGAGTAGTTTCCATCGACCGAGATTAAAACAATGTATTAAAATTGTCAACCCAAATCGATCACATAATCTCACCAAAACCTATATTTACTAAATATTTATGGAATCCACTTATAAGCTTTTAAGTCGTATAACACAGGATACGAACAACTAAAATTTACTCACTTATTATATTAGCTGTATTTGGTAATAATATTAAGTTGCAATGATGATTGAAATGATTTTAAAATCTATGTACAGTATTGTAGGTTGTTTTATATTAATTATATGGACAATAATTTAAATTATACGGTCTAATAGATGTAAATACATAACTAAAAAAAAATTTTAAAAATACTAAATATATATATTGTAAAAGATTAATAAACATCATAAACATTATATAATATTCCTAACATTGTAAGGATATTTTATAATGTTATCTGCCGAGTATTTATAGCTATTTTATTAACACACTTTACATGATATATGTAAGCATTCTATGCATCGTTTCTACATAATGGTGTTCCAAGAATAAAATATTTTTAATTACGTCAATACAAAAAAAAAAAAAAAATTAGAACTTTGAATAAAAATTATTACGCTACATAACTTTAACTAAAACTTAAATAAGTCATTATATATTATTATTATTTAAAAAACTACGGCAGACTGAAGGTGGCAGGCACACGAAACATTACAGTAGCACCGTATATGTCGGTGCGTATAATAAATAACAATAATAAAGACAATCCTTTAAAAGTTTTAACGTCAATTTAGTCTTTTTCGACAAATCCGCCTTACACAGGTTCAGTTTAATACTCGCAACAGCTTTTTCCATATTTTATTTGCTTTCTCTCTCTCTCTCCCTAAGACTCGTGTCGCCTCAGGAAATACAACTTTACCATCACCGCACTGCACCAGTACCGCACTTCCTGTTATTATTTTACTGTCCGAAGCTATATTCTTCTGTTACACTTTTCACTTCACAAACCCCCCTTTTTTCTTTCCCTGCACTCGAAAACCGACGCATTATTTATCAGGGAGTCCCTATCGGAAAAAAGCACTTTCTTCGAGAAGTATAATATATACGGCATTATAATAATAATAATAACGCTGTTGGCGCATATATCACACAAACGCATATGATATAGAAAAAGTATTAAAAAATATACACATACACGTTGACAAACAGCACGAAACATGACATTCGAATGTGCACGACAAAAGAACTTCATTATAGAAACCTGCTGTTTAAACACAAACAAGAGATTGTTAATCAGCTGTAATAGATTGGCTATACGAAGGGCCGCGGAGCGCAAAGAACCTTTTTTACGTCGTTATTTTAACTGTAGGTTAAGCGACGATTACGTCCAATATAATATAATGGCCATTTAATAATAATAATAATAATAATAATAATGAAAAAGGATACAATTTTTAGAGCTTCGTTCCTGTACTGGTGTACGTTACACTCGTCACGCCAATCCACGGTGCCCATCATGTGGTGCGGGACTCCATCCATCTCTTCACAGGTAGCCTTATTGGTGGCCACGTCAAGACCTTTGTAAACCTATAAAAAAATTAAATAACATCGATTATCATATTGTTTATTATGCATAGGATTTTACAAAATAAGCATTATACTGCAAGGTGAGACGCCATATTTGGACGTAGTCGTCACATAAAATATAAAACAATAAAAAAAATAATTAACTAAACCAATCAGCTAGGGAACATAGCTTATAGATTAGATTTTATAGGTAATGCTTAAGTAATATATTTGATCAAGTCAAAGACATAATATTTTGATATTTTTTACTGTATGCTATAAAGTAAAAACGCACCTAATTCTGCAAGATTATCCACCTGCATTTTAAGTACATAGTATTTAAATTAGTATTTTAAATTGTATTATAATATATTAGAAAAGAATTATACATAATATTATATCAAATACTTATATACACGTCGCTATGGAAAATTATAAACATGCAACCCCAAAACTAAGGTCAAATCAAATTGTGAATCAAAAACAAAAATGCAATCAGCTGAAATGGGTACGGAATTATGGATACAATGATTTATCCAGAAGTCATCATAAATAATACAGATTAAATTAAATTATAATTATTTTTTTTTAGTATATTTTTTTAAATTATAGATTAGTGTGTAGATTTTATCAGTGTACCCTAACCTAACCTAAGCCCCGAAACATCGAAAACCATGCAACGAATACTTAATCAAAAAACATTAAATATTCAAATTAAATTATTTTTAAAAAAAGGATATTAACATTTTATTGTTAATGATTTTTTATTTGATACTGTCTTAATTTATATTGAACATGCGTTGATTAATGTTATTAGTAATCAACTGAATTACACGTAGCTATGCGTCATTTCTAATATTTCACGGTTTTTCTAAGTATATAATAAAAACAGATGAAAAGAATCTGAAATCGGGCGCAATAGATTTCCCCCGGTTAACGCCACTTAACCCGATATCAAAAATTAAGAAACATACATAAATTATACATATTTATATATTATATTATAGGCACCTAGTATATGGCGTAAATTAGAGATGAAGGATAAGTTTTCTAATATAGTCAAGTTGTAGCAATGCAGCAATATCACCAGGGCCGGATTTAGAACAAGTGCCGCCCTAGGCCATTTTAAATATGCCGCCCCTATCCCAAGAAAAAAAAAAAAATGATGTTATTATTTCCAATAAATTTATTTCAATTTTAAATAAATTAGGTCAATAGTCATTATAAACAAAACAAATAATTCTAAATTCTAAATAGCAGTGTAAATGTTTAAATCTTATACCTATGTTATCTATAACATTTTACGACGAACTTTTTTAGTCGCGAAATCGTCGATAATATCATCATAATTTATACTTCGAAGCATCTCAGATTCTATATGTAGTATTGATGTCGCATTTAATCTATCTGACTCCAAAGTTGAACGAAGATGCGATTTTACTCTTTTTAATGCTGAAAATGACCGCTCTGCTGTACAATTTGTTGCAAACGTGCACAAATACATACGTAACGCTGTTGTGACGTTTGGGTAAATATCTATTAATTCATCTGTATACAACATCTGACAAAGTTCTTGAGCGCTTCTTTTTTTGTCCGATTTAAAAAAAAGATGATCACGCAAATGAAGACATTCATTTGTAAATGATTCTTCAATATCATTAGGATATTGTTCTATAAGTGCCCTAGTTTTTTTAAAAATAATTTCCTCGTCAAAACTACATATATTCGTAAGAAAATCAAACTTGACACATAAATCTTTATACGAACTGCCACGTCTTACAAGTTCAGCTTTCAATTTATCCAATATAACGAAGAATACATTTATTCTGAAATCTTCCTTGCCTGTTTCTGTTATCACTTCATTCATTGTTTCGTCGAATTGACGTTTTCTTTTAACAGTTCTCCGCTTGTCTTTTTTATACTGTATTTCACCGCATATTTGTATAGCTTTTCTTTCATATTCTTCAAAATTATTTCTAATTCTAGATATATACTGCTCTAAAGATCCATATAATTCAACGACCATTCCTAATTCAATATTAACTGATTGAAGTTTTTTATTAACTATATGAAACCTTTCTAATACTTCGTTCCAAAAAACAGCCATAAAGCACATTTCTATAGTATTTAAAGGTTTCAAAAGAACCAAAGCGTCAAATTTTGTTACAGGTTTTTCATTGGCATCGTCAATAATAGCCTGTAAAGCGTTTTTAATTTCACTCCAAGAAGTATATAAAGATTTACCCGCTTCGTATCTTGCTGACCATCGGGTTTGAGACAAACTTTTTACACACTTGGCCTTTTTTTAAATAAAATAGTAAAATTTCCCAACGATGGGTAGATGCTGTGAAAAAGTTATATAATTCTTGTAGATACCTAAAATATGTTGTCGATTTTTCACAGCAATCCACGGCAGATATCCCCACAAGGTTTAGGGAATGTGCTGAGCAAGGAACATAAATGGCAAGCGGAATGACTTCTTTAATTCTGGCTTGAAGGCCAGTGTATTTACCAGCCATGTTACTGGCATTATCATATGATTGCCCGCGGCAATTTTTAAAATCCAAATTATATTGATTAAGTGTATCAAAAACTGCATCAGCAAGTTGTTCAGATTTATGCCCAGTATTGGCAATAAACTTTAAAAATCGTTCTATAGGAGTACCATCTTTTGAAAGGTATCTTATGATAAAAGACAACTGATCAACATGGGATACGTCGGGCGTCGAATCAACGCTTATCGAAAAATACTTTGAAACTTTGACTTCTTCAACTATTTGTTTTGTAATTTGTTCTGCCATAATTTGTATAAACTCTCCGTATGTCTGTGAAGATAGATACGATGTATTACCACTACCGATTTTACCGTAATGGCGAATATGTTCTAATAGAAAGGGGTCAAATTCTGCTAAAAGTTCTAATGTCATAATAAAATTACCACTATGATACGACCCAAATTTTTCTTCACTGCCTCTCAGTGGTAACCCTCGAATTACTAAAGAACGTACAGTAGCAACTATTCTTTTTAAAATATTTCGCCAATAATTGGTTTCTTGTTCTAATTGCAAAACAATTTCTTGGTTTATTTTACCTGCAGTTTTTCCCCTTTCAATTAATGCAACTGTTGAAGTTTTATGAGGGATAGAATTTTCGTGCTCGTTTAATTTTCGTACAGCATTTTTCCAATCATTAAAACCAATAGTTACTAATGTTGATAAATGTGTACTTCCAAAGAGTCGACATGGTGCACAAAACACTGAACCAGTAGATTTCGAAAACACTAACCATGGTCGTGACTGTACTTCACCATTTATACGTGTTCTAACAAATAATGATTTATTTAAAAATCTATTTTTGTCAGGATACTCACGTTTAGAACATGTAAAATCATCATTTAAATTTTGATTTATTCCGTGTTTTGCCACATAATCGCGAGTTACATCATTAATAATCCATTTAGCCGGATCATTATTATCAATATAAAGTGTATCTGAATCCACATTTAAAGTAGAAGTTGTTAAGTTATTAATTACAAAATTCGATTCGCACTTAGTCATTTCTTTGTCGTCAATCGTTTTTAAATCATGTTGTTGATCATTATCAGGTGCATTCAAAGAAGACGGTGTAGTAGGTTTAAAGAAAGTACTTAGTTTAGGTATTTTATTTAGAACTTTAATCTCTTTATATTCTTTATCTTTGGCTCGCTTTTTATACTCTGAACCACTAAAACGTTTACGACCGTCACTCATGTTGAAAAAATGTTAATTGCTGTAAATTTAATACGTGAATTATTAATTATTAAATATTATATTGTGTTGTCGTAATATGCACTGCCCGACAATGACGAACAATAAACTGAAATGAAGTGTGGTCGTGTGTGATGTGGATACACAATATCTCTCGTCAATTTCTATATATATAATATTATTATCGTAATTACTTTTAGGAACAACTCATATTATATACCTAGGTATCTTATCTTTATAATTCACATTACAAGAAAATTGATTTCGTGTTATTGATATTTTAAGTGTCATGCACTCGTATATTTTACACACAGATATCTATACTACTAATATACTAATATATATTTCTGTCTTCTATATAAAAATCTGTGATTTTATATTACGATTACGATAAATACGATAGCTTATTAAGACGCAGGCCACAGAATTAACCAATGTGTCAAATTCATGGATTTACTTTTATGTTTTTTAAATACTTATATCAAATATTATATAATATTAATTTACGCAGACACGCAGTTACATAAATGCATAAAATATTCATATAATTTTTTTTTTATTTCTTACAAAATTTGCCGCCCCAAAAAAATTGCCGCCCTAGGCCCGGGCCTCACGGGCCTAGGCGTAAATACGGCCCTGAATATCACACGACGGAGCGGCGGGAAAAATCGTCGGCCAGACCTGAGGGGTAGTGGTCTACCGGCGCATAATGCCATATTATATTGATCCGTCTGCGTTGTACGAGTGTGCGTGTGTAAGTGTGTTTGTCTACCTTGAGCGGCGAGGTGGTGTGTCTGGCCGCCGGCGGCATACTTGTTGCGCGCTACCTATATACAGTAGATTGTCGGTTGAGTTGCGCGCGCGGTACATTATATGTACATAATATAATATGACTAGTACATAACTGCAAAACACATAATACATAAACCTCGTCTCTCTGCAGTCTATCTCTGTCGGCCCGTCAGTGGGGTAGGTTAGGTGACGAAAATTTTAAACATCCCACGCACTGCCGCCACGAAATGGTTTTTTTTTTACCCGTTATTATTTTTGTTTATATACACTTTCGGTCGGTCCTCGGCATTTATTTCTTTCAACCCTAGCCGCATATTTTTTTATTATTAAAATTTTACAAAATTTAACAACCCTGTACGTCAACAATAAACATTTATTTATTTTTACGTATATTATAAAACAAATAAACTCGTCTGTTTTTAGTCGTAGTGTATATTTATAATCCTCCACAGGACATTAAAGAAATAAAATCGGAATAGCGCA